CACCTTCATCTTCAGATCCCACCTCTTCTATCAGCAAAAGATTGGGCCTGGGATTCTGCAGAGGAACCCAGCACTGCCTATAGTAGAGAAGCTCTCAAAGACATGGCATGTGTGCTAAAAATATGATCTCTCTCTAACTTAAATCTGTTCATATTACAGATCCTAGCTATGCCAAGAAGCAGATTTATGTCCTGGAATGCATCTTTTTCAGGAGAAATAGCTGAATATTTATACCTTACCAAGCCAGTACTGGTAATTACTGAATTACAGTGTTTTCATATGTTTACAGGGAGAAAACACCAGCTACAAGCTTACTGACCCAGCGGTAGGAGACAAAGACTAACAAGTGATTTCTCAGCACTGCCTTTGGTATGCTAAATAACAGACAAACAGCAATCAGTTCTGAACAGCATACTGTGCTTGGTTCAGAGTTTTACCCGGAGAGAGCTACTCTGCAGCACAGATCATACGGTACTTACACTCCATCCAACAAGGGATGAAAAGGCCACTACTTCTGTGCTTAATTTCAGTAAGGAGGCTACATAAAAATGGGGAAATTGTTAAAAAGAAGACAAAAGGGACAGCTAAAAAGAGTTAAACCCTTGCAAACAGATTTTTTGCAAGCACTGTGGGAGCTATTTAAGGCCAGTATATTGGAGACTCAGGGAAAATGTATGACACCTATTAAAAAAAGCCCTGAGAAGGAGCAAAAGGAAAAGGTCATAGCAGAACAGTGGGATGAGGGTGGTTGTTAGAATGAAGCAGCTAAAACTGTGTCCAAACATGAAAAATAGAAAAGATGATCAACTGTGCCTGACAAAGTGTGAACCACAATAAGGAGACTCAGCAGAGAACTGCAGAAAGAACTTGCAAAAGGCAAAGAAACCTCTTAAAAGAAGTTTTTCTATTTTCACACACATTAGGAAGGGGAAGCCTGATGAGGAGCACGTAGGGTAGGAAATGGTCAGAGCTGTAGAGCTAATAAGAGCTAAGGCCACTCCATGGCTGCTAAATGAGATATTGGCAGCTGTGTTCACCTTAAAAGAAAGAAGGGGGATTTCATACTGAACTTTCCTTTGAGGGGACTCATTGAAGGATTTGTCTTAAATATAAAGGAGGTGGAAAAGAGGGAATAAGCAACAACAAATCACCAGCACCCAGATCTTTCCCCCCAAAAAAGCTCCTAAGGTAATTTAAGGATTAAATAGGTTTCCTCCTGATGGCAGCATGTGATATATTGCTTAACAAAAATTTATAGTGCAAAGATGGGGAGATGCTAATGTTCTGAAAAAGAGCCCCCCCCCAAAAAAAAAAAAAAACAAACAAACACACCAAACTCAAACTTAAAAGGTCCTACAGGATTTACAAGCCAGGAACATATCAGTAATAATTAATAACATAGAAGAAAACCAGGAAAATTCTGTCTTAAAAACCTAGTAATACTCCCTCTGAAGGAGACAGTGGATTTAAGGACTAAAGAGATTGGGATGCAGGGAGCAGGGACCAGCATTATGGGGCCAAGCTGCAGAAGATCATGAGGAGCACTGAGGGAGGTCATTGTTGGGACTAGAGTGGCAAATTTGATCATAAACAGGTCTGGAAGTGGGGCTGAATGGAAAGATGGTAAGATTTTTGCTGGAGCTGTATTGCTCAGGGTAATAAATGTGATGGCTATGGAAGGACCTCTGTGTTTTCATGGCTGGCTTGTAAACTGGCTGATGGAATTCAGTGCAGATCCATGTAGGGTGATGCACATAGGAAAAATCAAACTAATTTTATATGCCAGATGAATGGCTCTCTGTTAGCTATTTCATTGCCCAGTACAGACTGCGGATGCAATTTGGAGAGGAAGAGAGAGCTGGGAACAGCATCATTACATTTGTTTGGGAATTCCAGGCACTCATTTTGGGACCCTTTATTTGCTCTTTAATGATTATCCCATTTCAGGGAGAAAGTGTTTATCTCATTTTAATGATAGCTAATGTCCCCGTTCAAGAAGAGGGAAGAGGCAGAAGCACTGAGACTTCTGTGTCCCATTCCAAGAGTGAAACCTCAGATCTGGTGTTCCTTCAGCCTCCCTTATATAAGGGAAGCATCAACCAGAAAAAGCCCTGATGGGTCACTGCTTTGCTATTTATACAAGTTTTATTCAAGCAGAAAGGTCCATGTCCTGATGCAAGAAAAGCCAGCAAAGGCTCTGCCCCGATTGCTGTCTGTGATTATAGGTAGGTAAGAGTGACAGAGAAGCAGATGGGCATATTAACACGAATCATTGGACCAGACTTTTTATTATGCCTGGCATTCCTCTTTCTTCCAGGGCAGATGTACTGACTGTCACTACAAGAAGAGACATCTTTAAAATCTATAGCACCAGACAATATGGTAACTCCAGATTTGTGTGGAAAGTGGGGTTTTGCTGCTCTATGCAGCTTGTTTCCTTTAAAATGCTTCTGTGGAAGTCATATTTCACTCAAAATAAGATATAGAGGAAAGCAGTGGGAAAAAAAGAATTCTTACAACCAGGATCCCATCTATTATCACCTGCAGCTTCTATAAGAGGGCCTCAGAAAAGCACCCTTTCTTTTGGATCTGCAATTTATGGTGCCATTTTGATTGGTACTTGCCATAATTCCTCAAGTTACTCTAGCTGAAAGATATATGAAAGACAAAGAGGTTTTTTCCCCCAATACCTGTCTTTCAAGATGTGGAGTGCCATGAAAGTATCACATGAGAGGGGTGAATAAGTGACACCACCGCATTAAAGTGACATGATTTTAGGTGAAAAACATGAGCAATTCATGTTCACTTCATTATTCCGCTCCTGCACATGTTCTGTTGCAGTCTATAAATATGAGGGTGCCTCTGCTTTCTCACTGAAAAATATGGTTTCTTTTCCAGATTTGTCTGCATCCTTGTGAACCCCAAGTCTTAAGGTCTCTCACTTTTTTTCCACTCTTCTAAAGTAAATTTACTTATTAAATTCACTGGTCAAGGTAAATGTATGAGAAGGGAAATTCAGATGATGACTGAGGAAGGATCCTCTGCTGAAAGAGTGAGCATTTCCACAATGACTTCAGTGTACCAACACACACAGGCGTCTTGTAAAATACTTGGGCTCACTTAACACCGAATCAAGCCCTAGACCACTGGCATACAGAACACCCTAAAAGACATTATTAACAGTGGCCTCATTGTCCAACACAGAGAACTACATTTCTCCAGAGCTGGTGAGAAGGTATTTTGACAACACCGACATTCACCAGGAGGTCAGAGCTGATGCTCTCAGAGATGTGTTCCCTTCACCAAATTGTTCCTTTTCTAGGAAAAACAAAGCAGGCAGCTTGCAGCCTCTCTTCTAATCTGCTGCAGAGATTTTGGTTACGTGCTTCTCTTCACCTTCCCATTTATTCATTCTGCACCCAAGGTCCAGAGAGTTAACCATTAATGGTATTTGCTTTATTCAGGCTGGCTATGTGTTTACTGGAAGAGAAGGAGATGGAAGCTTGCCGCAGGCCAGTGTGGGTTTATCATGCTTGCAGGTAGCTCCTTGAATGCCTTCTGCTACTGCGGGTCATTATTGAGTGGTCTTTCAGTGCTCCCTTTTGGATCTCTCTATCTACATTTTTTCACTTTTACTATTCCCTGCTTTGTTGCACTGTGTTCCCTTATAATTCTTGAGTTTCTCCAACCCTGTGGGTCTTTCTCCCCACAATCCAGGGACACTTCAGATGCTACAAGATTTCAGTAGATCCTATCATTACCAGCACTCACAAGACCACAGCTAGGACATAGGAACATGAAACAGGACATCACTCGAATGACAATCACCACATTATCTATATGCAAGGTTGTACTGGGTTTGTGTAGTGATATTTTGGTAGTGGGGGGTGCTACAAGGGTGGCTTCTATGAGAAGTTGGCAGAAGCTTCCCCCATGACCAACAGAACCAATGCAGTCGGCTCCAGGACAGAGCCACTGCTGCCCAAGGCTGAGCACATCAGTGCTAGGGCCTCTGGGATAATGTGTTTAAAAAGGGGGGAAAAACATGCTGTGCAACAGCAGCTGAAGAGAGGAGTGAGAATACGTGAGAGCTGCAGCCCTGCAGACACCAAGGTCAGTGAGGAAGGAGGGGAGAAGCTGTTTCAAGTCCTGGAACAGAGATGCCCCTGCAGCCCATGGTGCAGCCCACGGTGAGGCAGCTGTGCCATGGCAGCCCATGGAGGTCCATAGTGGAGTAGATATCCCCCTGCAGCCCCTGGAGGACCACATGCAGGAGCAGGAGCATGTTCAAAAGAAACTGTGACCCTGTAGGAAGCCCGCTGTGGAGCAGGCTCCTGGCAGGACCTGTGGCCAAGACAGATGAGGATGCACATAATCATCACAGCAGAAAAGGCTGCTGCAGATAGCCCCTTTACAGGCCCAGCTATGGCTGCTGTATTCATAGGCACCTGTAAATGACTCCAAGAGATGCTGTTGTAGGTGGTCTCAACAGAGAAGTATTTGGCAACTACGGGACAGGAATTATGTTCTCCCAGAGATTTTTCTAGAGAAGACCTTTGGAAGATTCTGAAGGGAACATGTAAGCACTGCAGCCATCCCTTCCTGCTCATTACCCAGACATGGTAACAAGTGTCTTGCCTGGATCTCAGATGGATACCGGTTTCTTGAGACCCAGCTCTAAACCAGGCTTCTTCCCACATATGAGACCCTTGGGTTTTGCTATGAGGCTCAGGGGTGTTTTTCCAACCAGACCTTTTTCAACCACCATTGACAGAATCCACTCTGAGAACCAGAGGAGAACTCTATCTGTTTAGCACCTTTCTGATGGATTCTGTGCAAAAAGAATAATGAAATGTGGTGCTAATGGGCCTCTTGGGCTGTGCTTGAAGAATCTGTGCTAAAGCTTTCTATGGGATCACAGCACACCAGTAACCACACCACACACAGAAGTGCCATCTCCTTTTTTTCTCTTTTTATTTATAGAGAGGAGGGGGTGACAATTGTGTTGGACAGGTGAGAAGCTGCTCCCAAAGCCACCGCCGTGCCTCCTCTTCCCCAGGGGCTTCCTTTGCAGCTCCTATTTCGCCTTCCAGCCGGGTGGGAGGCAGCAGTAGTACTTGCAGTCAGAGGAGAAGGACCACACGTCCACCTTGGAGCACTTGCTGGAGCAGTAGCCCACCTTGGGGCAGTACTTCCTGATCTGCCCATAGCCTGCAAGGGGGAGACAGAAGGAGAGTGGTTGAGTCAGAAGTGCTTCTGTGTCACTATCTTGCCCTCCTGTCACCTTTGGGTATAGGTGTGGCACAAGCCCAACCCCAAAGCAGGAAAGGACCTCAAAGAGCACAAGTCTGAGAAACTCCTGGTGCGTCCCTCTCCCTGCAGCTGGTGACTAGGGGCTGGTTGATAACACATATGTTGTTTGGGAAAGAGATGCTCCCAAGGAGAGTGCATTCATTCCTCTCCTGAGAGACAGCCCCAAACCAAAGTTCATAGGGATGCTCATCTATGCAAGGCTGCACAGATGTCTTGCACCTCTCTTTCAGAGACAGGATTAGAGCAAAGCAGCAAAACCAACACCAAAATAGTTTCAAAAAACTGAATTGGTGATCCAAAATGTATGGAGGGTGTCTCAGATGGCAGTTCCTGTGGAACCAGAAATCTGACCTGCACGTGTTGAAAGAGGCGCAAGTGTCAAACACGAGGCACCAGGTAAGAAACTGTTGCTGAGAAATGATGCCCAGTGTGAATGGATATTGGATTGGGGACCATTCTGAGTCCCAAATCTCCCTTTTGTCCATTGAAGAGGGAGGTGAGAACCAGAAGTGGAGGGCTATTTGTCAGCTCTGCACTTTAAAATTACTAGGAACTGGATTGAAACATCCAAGAGACATGTCTATAAAACACCTGGTTCTCACTTGATGCTCCATGGCTAAAATCACTTCACTAGGGCTCAGCTCACCTTGACCTAGAGGTGTAAAAAACTTCTAAAACATCCTAAATGTACCTCTGACAGTATTTTAAAGTTATTTTTTTTCTTTAAAGATTCATTTTCTGCACATAAGCATAGAGCCCAATGTAAGATAACCTGTGAGTAACCAAGTCATCTGCACATTTGCAGGAGGCCAGCACCCATCTGCATACAGAAAGGTCTAGACACATTTATACAGGCAATAAAATCACAGCCTTTAAAAGCAACAAAGACCAGGTTTCTTGAAGCTGCCTATTGAATGTGTCCCACTCTGACCCCCATCACTCTGGTTCTCCCACCCTTGTCCATCTCACCTTCCAATGCAATTCACCCCCTTACCTGGGACAGCCAGGGAGACCAGCAGGAAGACAGCGAAGACAAGGCAGAGGAACTTCATGGCTGGAGTTGATGCAGGATCTCAGCGAGGCTGGAGAGAGGAGGGTTGGAGAGAGCCTGAGCTGGACTCTGCTGAGTGGCAAGGCTGGGGATCCTCACATTTATAGTGTGCTTCTGAGCAGAGGATGGTGCTGGGGGAGGTCCTGTTGCACAAGGGACCTCTCATGGTTCACTGCACACCCCCCAGCCCCTCCACCCTGCACCTGGGTATGTTGGCAAAATTCTGCTCTCCCCACGTCTGGTATCAATACCCAATTCAAATGAAAACCATTGAGTGTGACAGGAGCGAACCGTGAGTAGATAGAACAGATGTGCTGGGGCAGAGGGACCTCTTAGGAAACAAGATCAATATCAAACGGCTTCAGGCCTTTCTCAATCTTTGGCAGGGATGCAACTGCATGCAATAGAGCTGAGCCATGGACACAGCGCACCGATAAACTCTTCCTTTGTTGCTTAGGCCTGTCTCCATGAGGGGCTGGACAAGCTGAGAGGGGCCCTGGTGTGAGCAGCCTTGGCTTGGGATGGACCTGGAGTCCACGCATCACCCTTTTGGGAACCATGACTGAAAAATCTCCCTGATAAATTTATCAAACACCATGTTCAATGTGGCCTGTTCTGTCATCCCCTCTCATGCCACTGGGGAGCTGAGAGCCTTTTCCCAGGAGCCTGGATGAGCCAACCACTTGCAGACACTTTGATCATCACCTCTTCTTCATAAACTCTCCAGACAGACCTGGGGTCTCAAGAGTGCTTAATTTCTGGGTTGGAGATAGGCTGATCCCTGCTGCCTGGGGAGCTCTGGTACTGACAGAAGGTTATTCAGTGAAATGAAACCTGACTGCACTGAATCTGCAAGGCAAAAGGATCTCAGCACTGAGTGGCTGCATAAGCAGACGGCAAATAAGACCCAGTGATGGCAAGCTTACTTTCACCTTCCAGGAAAGAGGTGCTCCCAAAGAGCACTTCAGACAAAAAATCACCTCTCTGTACAGAAGCAGCTGGGAAGGAAAACTGAGTATTAGGATTTGCTAGAATGGGCACTGACAAAATCAGTGGGTCGCTGTAGCAGTTTTGAGGGTACTTCATGCTGTGTATTGCACATGCTGCTGGTGTCCCTGTCTCCACACACATAAGCAGGGCAAGAAGAGGTACAAAGGATGGTAGCAAGGATGGTGAAAGCTGGGGACCTATTTTCAGACAATGAGATAGTAATTATGCTGGGACTGTTCCACTGTTGGTGGAGATGAGTGTGTGGAGATAAGTGACAGCGATATCAAAACTGTAAATGTCCTGATGAAGACAGAACTATGAGATGACATACAAAAGTATGATGCATTGAACAAAGAAATTATTCTTTCATACTGCATACAAGATGGTGCAATTCATTGCCATGGATACTGTGGAGGAAGAAATTGTAAAGGTGTTCCAAATGCAAGAAAGGCAGTCAATCTATGAAGTTTGCCCTGCTCTGAACAGCTGGCTGGACCAGATGACCTCCAGAGCTCTCCTCCACCTTCTATTATTGTATACTTCCATGGAAGCCATAAAATTAAATGAGGGGCATTCAGCACAATGATATGGATCCATCTCCAACTCAACAACACCCAAACCTCAGACTGCTGGAACTGGATGCACTTCCGAACACATGCTACTGCATGTTTGCCATGTTCTTCTACTCTTCTAAGCATCAGATCTTCACCACTGTCAGATTAAAGACACTTGGCTAGATGGGTCCCTGCTACACAGGGAGCAACAAAGTTGGTAAAGGGTCTAGGGCACAAGGCCTATGAGGAACGGCTGAGGGAACCAGGGTTGTTTACCCTGGAGAAAAGGAGGCTCAGTGGAAACTTTATTGCTCTCTTCAACTACCTGACAGGAGGTTGCAGTAAGGTGGGGGTCAGTCTCTTCTCCCAGGTAACAAGCATAGGTTGAGAGGAAACGGCCTCAAGTTGTATGAGAGGAAGTTTCAGTTGCATATTAGGAAAGATTTCTTCAATGAAAGGGTTGTCAAGCACTGGAACAAGCTGGCCAGGGCAGTGGTGAAGAGTAGAGTGGAGTTTAACACTAGGGATGTGGCCAATTATGCCCACTGGCCTCAGGACCATAGAGTGGGCCCTTGTACCATTCAGTTTACCAGCAAAAACACAACCATAATGATTTATTCTGTGTTGTCACCAAAAATGCAGGGAACTGTAGATGCCCTTGTGGGAACTGCAAGCTGTCCTGTTCCCGCTATGTGGATAATTGAAGAAGAAGAAGAAGAATTGCTCATGGGACACCTGGGTCTTGAGCAAGCCAGGGAGTATTTGTGTGCATGGGTGCAAGGTCAGGCTGGGAAACAGCCTGGGGAATGATTGTTTATAGAACAGAATGTATAGTGACTGCAGACAGTCTCTGTGACTGATGTGGTCTCTGTTTGGCTTCATAGCTCAGACCTGTATCTGTATGCTATATATTACCATGTTATAGCAAATAAAGAACTGGAACTAGAACTAGTTGTGAAAGCAGTGTGTGTGCATGTTTAGCCTCTTTCTTTACAGATGCCGCAGTCCTCAGTCACTTCTCCACATCCCTAAGGCACAGCTCCTTACAATCATAAATCACCCATCTCAGAAATGTTAAACCTCTTGAGGAATACCACCAATAACTGGTCTTCTCCATATCATTCCACCTTCTTCAAGATACCATTCTCCATCCACTTGAAACACCATCCTATAAACAACACTGAACTTCACTGTTGCGGTTTCAAGCCACTGTTTCTCACTCGGAACCTCCCTAGTCATGGGGAACATATTATTCCCTCCCCATGTACTCTTTACTCCAGATTTGTGGGGCATCATGGGTCCCCCTTCCCCTCCCCAACATCTCAAATCTACCAGATTTTTGTTATTGATCATATTTTATTGGTCTCTTAACAATCTCAGCTCCAGGCTCTCCCCAACCATCATCTTGAAGTATGTTGCCCTAAGCTGTAAACACCACGCTACCTGAAAGTCTAGCAGTATGGAGCAATAAATGAATTAATTTAAGTGCCTGACAAGTGATTAGCCGTTGTTTGCTTTGTTTTTTAGAAAGAATGATTTCTGCCTTTTCCATAACAGAATGACATTGTACCATTATGTGCACCTTGCTGCCCGCTGCAGCCCCATACCTTTCCTGCAGAATCTCTGCATTGCCAGATATTGCTTACTCCACCTTCACCAATTGTTCCTGTCTTTTGCAAAATAAATGCCAATCTCCAAGTGTCCCCCCAAATGCCGCAGTCCCTTTCAGCCTCCTACTTACAAATGCAGTAAACAACAGTCTTTATTCCATTATGCAATTTGTTAATGAAAACCCTGGATAGTTCAGAACTCAGAACAGCCTTCTAACATGTCCTTCTACCATCACCATGGTAACTGGAAATTTATTAAATCTTGTTCATAAACCATTTTTTCCTTCATTTCCTTTAGGCCATGATCAATACTGAAAAGAAAACCAAAACTGAGAGAAAATACCAAATGAATGTGATGAAAATGTTGCAGAGCACAACATTTGGGGTGGACCCTTGAGGAACCTCACTGTCACTAGTCAGGGACAGATGCACCCTGAAAACTATTCCCATGATGGATCTATTCCCGGTATTGTCCATTGTGTCTGTGCCTGGCAGACAGTGTCCAGGGCTTATCAGGAAGGTGCCCAGACTGAATTTCTTCACCCCTGGGCAGCAGCTCTGCTGTGGGCAGCCCCGGCTGGCACTGGGTTAAGCAAAGCTGAGCCTGGTGGCTCTGTGTGCTGGCAGTGGAGTCCCGGCAGCCGGATCTGGACAAGGGGGAGCTATCCCGTGTGTCCGGGTTGCTGAACGTGGCTGGCAAGTTGTGAGGAGAAGCCACTGGAGCATGGACCTGGCTGCCAGGTGCCTTTGTGAGCAGGACCAGTGGGTCGGGGTGACATTGCACACACCAGCCAGCAAGCAACACCTCCTAGGAGATGGGTTTCCTCAAGCTTCTCCTGCCAGGAGTCCATCTCTAAGCACCAATGTCTCTATCTTCGTTTTGGATGAGCATTGTTCTTTGTTCCTGCACACCAAGATCTTCCCTGGTCTCAGACATGATCATTTTCTACAGTATTGCTGCTCTCTTGATCCATGGCCACCCAGGATACATGGCAGCTAGGAAGCCATAGAGGACAGAAAGAACTAGAATGTTAAAATCAGAAAATGCCACCTTCAGAGTCTTTTCCTGGACAGCCTGCAGTGGGACAATTTTGAATAGAGACTCCAATGGCCTTAAATATTGTATGTATGTTCAGATTTCTGAAGAGTAAACCGGAGAAAGACTCTTCCTAGTCTCTCATCTGTCACTCATTTTCCCCCTTTCCAGATTTCTCCATTTCTTCTCTCTTTTTTGTTCTTCTTCCTAACTATTTGCCACTACATTTATACTCCCCCGAGTCCCCTCCTTCATTCTTTGGTTGTTTGTTTTTTTCCTTTGCTCTTTACTTTGTCTTTTCTTGCTTCCCATGACCACTACAGGGAGGTCATTCCTGCAATTGACCATTCACAACCTTTTAAACTCAATAAATCAATTTACTTGAATTTTGAAAGAAAATAAACTGTTACACTAAGCATCTTCATTCTTGACAAGCAACCAGTTTTTTTGCAGCTGCAGAGTTTATTTTATAGCTATTGAATGTGCATGCTTCTATAAATGTTCAACAGGGAATCCCTCGTTCAAGCTATTCACATTTGAATTCAAACAAACACCACCACTCATTGCTAATGTTGGCTCAGCATGAAGAGCTGCAGTGTTTGTGTGGATTATTTCTTTTCTGGATGCAAAACCAACAGCTATAATTTACTCCTTTGAGTTAAGGCACAAGGATCAGAAAGGATGAGCTTGGATGTGTCTGCAGACACACGAAAGAAACCAGTGCCGGGAGATGCTGAAGCACTCTGCACCACAGGAGAAACAGCAGAGCTGGAGAAATGCCAGGAGAGGGGGGAAGGATCTTTTCTGTCTCTTCACAAAACGTATTTTTTACTGTATTTTTGAATTGGTATGATCTACCCTTGATGTATTTACCTTTTTTCCCCCAGAAATTCTAGAGCCATTTGTTCCCAAGCAGATCTGTCACCTTTCACAGATGTTTTCATGGGGCTTATTTCTTTCCAGCTTTTCCCTGAAGAGACCTTTGTGATCC